AGGCAAACCGTAGGCTCATCTCTGCGGATCGAGGCTCTTGCCGTACCTGGGGTGAATGGGCCCGCAACTGCCACACCGTGCCACTTTTTCCTGTTGAAAATACACGGGAACTTGACTGGAGGCTGGTGGTACCCTACTGGCGTTCGCATGCTCCGCTCGCGCCGCACGGCCAGCCACACGCTGACCATAGCCGAACGCATTGCTAGTCTGACCTCCCCCTGTCTTGTTGTTTCTCTACCAGAACCTTGGTTTCGACGCATGTACAGCACCTTGAGGATAGCGTGGGTGGAGCAGCACCTTGAGGATAGCGTGGGTGGAGCATAATGGCGCAGTTCGGCGATGGAGGGGGCATTTTGCAACTTTGCTACTTCCCATCGATGTGGCGACCCCTCTTCTCGAGTTGACAGGTTTTACCATGATGGCTTGACGACCCTCCAGCTTCACAAGAGTTCACAGGTTTCGCCAGAGTGAGACTTGTAAACCGGAACTAGGGAAGCAATGATAGTACAAAATGCCCCCTCCCCGTCGTCAAACTGCGCCGTTATCATAATATAAAGAGCTCCTGCCCCAAGATATTTCGCCCTGTGAACAAGAACATCATGCCAGCTTGGAGTGAAAACGCGCGGTAAATCCGCGGGCGTCGGCACCAATACAACCACATGTGGCGCTGGCGCCACAGGGCTTAGACGCCAGAGAGTTTTCCTTCAAACGGATATGACATTCATGTTCACAAAGACAGGAGACTTGTAAATCGGAACTAAGGAAGCAAGTGATAGTACAAAATGCCCTCTCCCCGTCGCCAAGACTGCGCCGAGCACGATGATCGCACTCGGGTGCAGCTACATACCTGCACTCCCGTTCCCGTGCAGAGGTGGCACGCTTCTGCCTGCTGCGGACCCATTCGTCTCGTATTGTCTTTAAGCTGTTAATGATACAGTAAGTCGCATCACTNTACACCCGTCGCTGCCAAGCCAGTTCAACCCAAGCAAGGCCATATTGTCGAAAGACCACGGGGTGGCACTGTGTCCTCTCTCCCTCGTTGTAGGCGATATTTATCTTAACAACCCTCACGGCGATAAGCGATTATCACAAATCCGCTCATTACGTCAGAGAGCTCATCTTAGGGAGTGTTGAAGAGAAGAACCATCCCACCCTTTAGATGAGAAAATAAACAAAATGTCTAAAACCCTCACTCATGGCATTTAGCTCGATCACTTATATACCCTTTGCCACGTGCTATTCGTCAAGAGGGAGTCAAGCTTGTTTTGAAGTCGCTTTTCTCGATCTTCTTGCAAGACAACCGCAAAATTCGTCCTTTCAGAACACACGAATGGAAAGAGGACATGAATGCAGAGGATAAGCACCATTGCCAGGTCAGTTGAACAGAACGAGACGCTTAATTGCCGAAATCGAGCTTCCCTGCACAGCAGTAAGAACGAAACTCGGCTGCTGTTACTCAACACAGAGACGTGTCCCTATCTTGAAGGACTAGTTTGGTTTTATGCCCAAAAAGTCCACTATTGATGCCATTTTCATCGTCAGACAGGTGATGGAGAGATAGCGAGAAAAGCGTGAACCCATCCGTATAGCCTTCTTAAATTTTGGGAAAGCCACCAATTCTACCGCGACCTGTACTGCGGGGGAGGCGATCAAAGAAAGAAATGTTATGAAACATGGTCTGCCTTGTGAGGGGCATTTACGAAGGATCTAAGGCAGCTTTGCGTATTCCACACGGCTTTAGGAAAGATGTCATAGGTGGGGTATACAAACTGTGGTGTTAGGAACCATTTCTTGAACCGTGGCGCCCAAGGATGACGCGCTGACGCGCTCTCATTCGACTGTAGGGACTCGTAGCGGAGTGTCGATGCGGGACACATTCAGACTCCACTGTTGCCGAACGACATTACCTGGAAGCAGAGAAGAGCTTAGACAAGACTCCGGGAGAAGGTGCCAAAGGTTGCAAAATAGTAAGACGTATAAGGCTTACGGAACGGGCCAACGAACTCACTGTAAGCAGGATGTGTTTTCTTACCTTTTCACAACTCACATAAGCGGACCTCCACAAACCCCCCCATGTTGCATTGGTAATCGAAAGGGTTGAGGGACGTACCTGAGCGAGCGATCTATCCGCGAGGTTGGCGATATCCCCCTCGCAGCGAACACGCGCGCGCCGAGGGGCGGCGTGACCGGTAGCTAAGCAGGGGATAGATGTTGTGTGGATGAATGTTAGAACGATCCGCCCGCGTATGCATTGCCTGCGTGCTCCCAGGGCGCCAAGGACAGGGGCCCGTGTTGCGGGCACTGGAAGGCCTGCAACGCTCGGCACTCGATGGCAAGCCGATATGCAGGAAATGTTCGCTGAGGACAGCTCAATTCAGAACTGGCAATGGAGAATGCTGAGCTGAGAGTCGGCAGGGTGGAGTCCCAGAAACGGGAAAGGGGGGTCTAGAGCAGCACGCAACGCACCTTGACCAGAAAGCACCAGGCAATGACTTGCATGGCGAGGTACGTAGTTGGGAAGGAACCAAGTTCACCCGTAGGAAAGGCACTGATTCAAGAAAGTACAGGGCAGCGACCGAAGGTCCCAACGAACAGATGCGAGGGACGTCATCAAGAGGGACCTTACCAGACCGCGAATGTTAGCAGAAGATGCAATTGGATTCCAGAGGCAGTTATGCGATCTCCACCAAGGAGACTGCAAATTGGCCGTAGAGGAAGGGGATCCTACCAGAGAAAGAGCTTTGAGGGGGTCGTATTTTACAAAAATTCTCCCTAACCTAAGACGTACCCTGCTTGAATCGAAAAATCGGCGACTTCTAATAAGAACAGCGGACCCGGCGACAGCGTGGGATTAACGCTAGGAAGGAAACAGGAAGAAGAAGCACTTACCTATCCGGGATCATCTAGGGCTTACGACCCATTCGTTCCATCGCCCACCATCTGTGGGTAAATATCCTTCCAGCCATCAGAACTTTTTTCTAGCCTGGAAACGAGCCTTCCAAAAATGATGATCTTAATTAAATAATGTTGCAGCGGAGATGACGTATCGTCATTCGGCACCGCCCACCATACAAACGTCCTCAGGAGGAAATCCTTCTTAGCCAGTCCTTTCCATTGAGGTTCAGTTGCTTTGAGCTTTTTTTTAGTCTGGAAACTCCAGCACTAGCACAAAACCTCAGCTTGTGTACTTAGGGCGGAGATCTTCCTATTTTGTAAGTGAGCGATTTATCCTAGAGGGGCTCATTAAGGCTGACCTTAAGCCATATACAGGTAAAGTCACTTTCTTGAAAACAGTAGAAACATGGTCAACAATCACAGAGCGCTCAGCCATTCTGTTTTTCAGGTCGTAACTTTAGTGACGTCTGTTCTCATTTCTTGAATGACGCCTCCCTTCCTCTCTAAGCTGCTTTTCTCGTCCCACTCAACCCAAATTGCCTTCCTACGTTCGCGCGATAGAGAATCTCTGCTTTTTTTCTTCCGTGAAGCCTCGTCTCAGCACTGCTTTACTCAGAAGCTTAATTGTTTCAATCGCTAATGCTTCTCTTTTTGATGGGCGTAAGGTTCCTATAAAAGTCCACAGCCTTAAGCTGAGGATTTTAGCACAGGGAACGTGGAATGAATGTGTTATTAACGGGCGGAGCGATTTCATAACCGGCACTGGCAGTAATTGTGAAATACTGGAAAGGAAGGAAATGGCTTATCACATGCACCAAAGAGAGGCAATTGCGCTCGAGCAGATTTTTGAGATTGTGAATAAGCTGAACATGTGTGTTGGGGAGGGGGGGAGGAGACGTGTATGACTTTATAAAAGTGGTATATACATTTATTTGCGAGTGTGAGGGCAAAGTTTGTTATTTTTCGGGAAGTATTAGGATCTCCATCTCCCCACCCCCCTCGGCCAGCCCTTCGGGCAAACAGTGTTTTCCGACCAACAGTTTTCCTTCATCTTAGCCTGCCTCGAAGCCAGACGAACCGATGGGGAGGTTAGAGAGGGGCGTTGTTTCGAAAGAATTGGATGAAGTGGAGGGTGGTAGTGGAGTATAGATACAAGTATGTTAGGGTGTGGGTCATAAGGTTCTCTAAACAGGTGGTAACTTCTTCGCGACTCTCTTTCAAGCTCTCTTTTCTTCTTCTGCTCTTCTGAAGCATAAGCATTAAAGTGGTAAACCGAGCCCATGAAGAGGCGGTGAGCCTACAGGCGCATTTCACATCTGTCGCTTAGAAGCGGGCTCGCAAAGGTGTCCTCTTCCTTGGTCCTCACGTCTTAATAGGACAGTAACGAGAAGCGGCACGATTTTGTATGCGACTCCGCCCAAATGGCTAGCGCGGACTGTGCCTTTTACCTTCTCCACAACTAAAGTTTTTCAGCTTGCTCGAAAATCTTGCTGTCATTCAAAAAATCACCGGAAGTTGGAAGGGCGGTAAGGGACACATATAATGTATTATTCGGACCCCGGTCTTCAAAGAGGTTTTGGTCGATCAAGCAGTCCGGTCCATTTAAAGACGGCGTCCGCAATCATCAGACCTGCAGGAGTCTTCCGTTGCACAAAGAGGCACGACCATTAATCGCAAAGCATGTCCTACTCTCGTGACTCAAAAGTGCTCGAGAAAAGCACCAGGGCTTAGCGACGATAATCTAGCTCCGCCTCCTTGAGCTGGATCCACCTGTATCCCTTCGATATTCGTTTGGCAATCGGTATATGGAGGTGTGTTCATAATTTGTTGGCAACTCTTGTGGTGGTGCTTCCCTTGCTGAAATTTTGTCGTCTTGCTTGAAATCTCCGGTGTAAACTGTAGTTGCTCACTCATTTTTCGTGGGTGGAAGACTTGTGATTGGTGATCGTTATCAATCCACCAATCATGGGCAGGACTCGCTCGTTCCATGCTCGTTTTTCCTTAAGAGGCAACCAGTTGAAATTTATATGTTCATTTCAGGTACAACCCCCTGTACGCATATTTTGGCTTCTGTGGTCAGGAGCACATTTTGAGCAGCTCAACGAATGAGCATCCACCTGAACGTGGAGAATTTTCACGGTGAGTTACATTCCTTATCATCTCTTCCAATAGCACCGTAAATCAGGAGACCGGCCATTGAGGTAGCGCTTAGATTTTCATAGAATGCTATTTCTCAAAAAAGTAAGAAAGCGTAAGTTGAGTTTTAGTTATTTTGCCCACTCGTGCCCCTCCCTCCAGCCCACCTACTCCAATCTACGAGTGGAGCTGCTGCCTTCTCGACATAGATTGACGTAGGAGGAAGGGAGGGAGGGGGTGGGGTAGCAAGAGAAGAGACGGATGTTTTCCACGTTTCATACATCTGATCGTGTTATCCATGTTTGAGGTTTGTTTTTCAGAGACGGCTGCCACCCCCGGTCCGTCAATGGTGAACCGTCCGCCGGTCCTCGTCATTCCAGGTAACAATGAGTCGAAAGGTTACGACGACACGAGAAGAATGCTGAAGGTGTGTCCAGAGATTAATCCTCACCACAATCTGACATTTACAGTAATTCTTTTGTTTTTGAGCCTGCCCCCATAGATGATCACGAGGTAGAACTAACCCCTCTTGTGACCTACACCAAAGGCACCTGCTCAAGTGGTGCATCTTCTACACTAGTAGCTTGGATAGCTGCTGCGATTATTTGACGTGCAGGAGTCCTTCGTTGCAACACCATATCCTACTTAAAACTCGACATCTCGAGATGAGTAGGGACGTGGCTGCGTACTCTCACCTTGACAGGCGTAAAGGGGTCACCCACCTGTAATCTTGCCTTGCGTTGTACAAAGTCTTGATTGCAGTTGTCCCAAAACGTCAAAACCACTCCAAAAAAATCATGTTCAGATGAGGTAGTCAGCCAGGGATTTGGAGTATACGCAACCAGGAAGTGCAATGCAGTTGGCACGGTAAATCTTCACGACGTGTAGGATCAATACGCTTAGCAGAACAGACTTCGGCACCTCTGTGCATGCGCTGCGTGCTCCTCTGCCAAGGAAGTACCCTTATAGCGCCCTATCAAGCTGCAACATACCGACCTCAGACGCCCACCGCGCCCGCCCGCCCACAAATGTCCGACCGATGCTGATGCTCGTATCGCTTCATTTGCGAAGTACAACATGAAGAAAAAGTAAAAGTAGCGCGCATTGGCACTATGCCAACGGGAAACTCGTCCAAATTTGCTTTCTGAGTCATCTAGTACAAAAGCGTTTTTGACCGGTTCACTTCCTTTTTTCACCACTTTCCTACCATATGGTACCCTGCTACCATTTTAGACCGAGTACCGAATAAACGCGCCTTATGACTTTCATAGAAGCGCCACCGCTTAGCGACGACTTTTTTGGAACTTGGAAGTGCTCACAAGAGCGCCACCGCCTTGCGACGACAATCTAGCTCCGCCTCCTTTGGCTAGACCCACCCTTATCATTTTGTTTTTCTCCGACAATTTGATTAGCTTTTTTTATTCGCTGGCTTCCAATGTACTACATGATTTGTTGATTCTCTAGATAGCCCCACAATCTGTAGATGGCGATCGGCTCGCTGCCTTAAAGAACGAACTCTGCGCTCACTTCTAAGGACGATCCCTGTCATGTGCGAGGAAGCAAGTTGGCAGCTGTATAAGTGCGACACTTTTGGCTCTCAGAATGGCGCAGAAATGGCGCTGGAGGGTAATGATAGCTCGATGCTGTTTCACCACTGTCCGCGCTATCCTCAAAACATCGCAATTGCATCGATACCGAAATTCCGCAGCGAACATACGCACTCAAAGTTGAGAGCAACGCAAACGTGAAAGGACGCAAACAAGTAGCGAGTCTTGCTATGGTTATGGGTGGGATAGGTCGTGCGGCGTGTTGCGTGTCTGCGCACCTTGCCTACGGGCGGAGACAGAAAAGGGTCCGGCTATAACTATCCTCCGGCATCATTTCCACGCACTATCGAGGGGCGAAAGCGTCCTTCAGCTACCAGCCCGCTGTCTTCGCGCATGGCAAGTGTCAAATTTGCGTCTTGTTCGCTGCGGATTCTGAGGCGTGTCAAAAGGGCTGGGTATGGCGCGGCGCCAGCCGATTCTCCGCCAATCGCTGAAGCGGTCATGCAAAAATAATGAGTGGAGAACACCACCCGGCTTCTCTGAAACGTACCAGCATCCGCAGCGATATAGTTTATCTTTACCAAACCCATTAGGCTATGTCAGGCTGTCTTTGCTAGGGAGGAGCAGATGATGATAAAGATGGTTCTGTGCCAAAAGGTGCTCCCAGTGTGAACGTGGTTCGTAGATCGAACACCACTCAGGCCAATCGATCCCTCCATTCTTTGAAAGGCCGTTTTATGAGATCAAACTTGTCAGGGAGGAAAAACTGACTAACTTTTACAACGGCTTGTCTAACCGCTTGCCTGCACCTGCAAAAATTGCGCCCACCCCCTGAAAGGACAAGGCGTGCTACAAAAATATTAGACGGAAGTAAATCTTACTATTTC